TAATTTTAACAAAATAACTGTCAGTTTTTAATTTTTGTATAATATGATACATCATGTAACTTTCACATTTATTATGAAAAGCTACCCAGACTACTACCCAAAAGTCTGAATAAAGGATATATATCAAATTTGAACTAGGATTTTTGGTTAAGACCCAGGTTAATTCCTTACTTTTCGGTATGTACYTTTTGGTATTCCTGAAAATTCATTTTAACTGTTACATATGATGTTAGAGTGAATTCGTAATAGCGTAATAGAACCAGTCTCTATACTCCTAATAGAAATACCAAAAGTTAACACAATTTAGAAGATAATATTTTCTGTGTCGTACCCATAGTGTTTTTATTTGTTTGATATCATTAATAAGAAAAAATTAATAACACTTTTAAAAATCTGATATTTATAAATTTTCCAAACTTCAATAACTTTTGATATATTGGTCTTATTGAAAAAATAAAAACGCTCCAACATGGTTAAAATTCTCCTTTTCTTCATGTTGAAAATTTAGTTTCTTAGTTATAACTTATAACTATAGACTTTCGGTTCTTTCATGCGTGAAACAGTTTTTGCTATGTCACGCATTTGTAAGACGGATACAACACATTTGGGTATCACGTCCTCTTAAAATTTAATTCCATCCAATTTTAGAAGTCAAAGATTACATTATGTCCCTCTTCCTACCAACATTTTTCTTCCAAAAACTTTTAGCAAAAAGTAGTAAATAGGTTAGGCTTAGGGTTGCAGGATCTCCACTTTATTTTCTATTAATCTAGTAGAAAAATGTTATTTATAAATATTATTTTATCTAAAACTAAGAGTTTTTTTTAGTTTATGAAATATGAGTGATCTCTTGTTTCAGGATCAATAACATATTTCTAATGAGTGGATCTTTAGGTCTTACATATTTTTATTGGCTTTATGCAACATAACGAGAATAAAAAATGTGGACAATTTGTCCATCACAGAGTTTGCAGGAAAAATTTTATTTTGAACAATAAAGCATATTTTGGACATTAGAGAATACATATTATATATATTCTATTATTGTTCATAAAAATCATATATTTTGTTAATTTCTAGAGTTGTGATTTTTTCTAGGCCAAAAAAACTTTTGGTTAAAATAAATAAAATTTTCAAAGCTTATAAAAAATAATGGCCACCGATGTATATTTAGTATTTTTTTTTAACAGTTATTATAACAACATATAAGATATAAGTATATAACTCATAAGAAATAAAAAACCTTGTATAAGATTTTCATTTTTTTTGATCGAGTGAAGAATTAAGTGTAAACATGACTATTAAGATGGCTATAAATAGCTCAAAAGTGTCTAGATATTTTGAAAATACTTATACAGATAATAATAATATTTTTCAGTGAAAATTTCAAATCTCTTTTTTTTCATATTGTCTACGACATTTGCCTTTTTCCTTTTCTGTGGTATTGAATATCTTGAAAATTTCAAATTCAAATGCTCATAAAGAATAATTCATGTTAATTTCCGGTAGATCACCTAAGGTAGTAATAATATAGTGCTTCTTAAATTACATTTTAAAATGTAAGCGTCACTGCGTCAGTAGTCCAGCGATTAGAAGGAACTCGTTCCCTTGATTTCATCCAATTTTCAGGAACTTAACGTGAACGTAAWATTTTTCGTAAAGGATCATATTGCAATTTCGTTCATTTTTAGAGGAACATGGAAGATTTTATTCTCCTTTTATTCTTATGTATTATATATAGGGAATTAAAATAATTTTTAATTCAAAAT